CGCATACCAAAATGAAAAGGAAAACACATGAAAAATCGAAAAGGTTTACACGTACGTACGTTCCCCCGAGCACAAGACAAGGGTACGTAATAACATAATTCTGAATTTAGGGCTTGAGAATAATTAATTTGAATCATCTTACGTACCATGACTGCTAAAGGGGAAGCGTACATGCAAGTTCCAAAGATGACGCATAAAACTCCTACGATCAGACTTCTCTTCTCATGCGTGTGAGCCCCGCCCATCACCCCTCCGATCACCGCGGCCATGAACAGAAGCTCAACCCCCAATATCTTCAGTACTTTCAGCTGGCCATATATACCAAACAAAAAAACATAATCAACATTATTAATATACTTCCGAGTTATAGCTAGGTATATAGACGATGATTAATTAGCTGATTTACGTACGCGAAGAGATTTCGATGCGTAAGTGAAGAAGACGAGCAAATATAACGTCTCGAGCGCAAGGCCGGCGCCGTTGATGGTGACCACGAGAGTGCTGTTGGGGGTCACGAAAGGAAGACCGTAGAACACCCAAAGCATGCAGTTAAGAAGGGTCGCTAGGTACGGAATGGGAGAGAATTCCTCCACCGCCTTCCTCTTCCATATCTGAAAGAATGTTGGCCTGCATCAAGATTAATAATAAAGGAATGTTATTTATATAGTAGTAAACCATAATAAAATATCTTCATTTTTTATTGCGTGTAGATCGATCCCTATTACTATATATTGCCCAATTTCGTATAGACCCATTGTTATCCTAGTAGGTCGATTTGTGTAAATTTTTTTTTTCTTTTGACTCTTTTACTACTAGAATTTCTTTTTAAAAAAAAGACGAGATCTCTTAGAACGTCTATTAATTTTTTCCCTTTTTCAGAAGGTAAAAATAGAGAAAAACAAGTTCGCTCACTCGGGGGCCTATTTGCAACAATAGAACTAAGGGGTTCTATCTGCAATTGGAGGATATAGCCCAAGGGGTCTATCTGCAATTAACACTTTTTATATATAGGTACCATAAAATAATAAGGTCAATTAAGCAGGCAGTGTCTGAGCTTATGCTCTAAAATTTTAAAGTACCAAATTTGTAAGAATAATGTTATATGTAAGAGGAAATTTGTAATAACAATATTTACGTAATAGAAAATTTCTAA